ATTTGAGGATCGGTGTCGTATTTCTATTTTAAGCCATTAGTTGAATGATGGACTATTTATTGTAATAGGAAAGTTTGAAGGGGAGTGGACAGTTCTCAATGTCTCAATGTGAGAAGCAAAACACTAGTTTTAAGCATGCTCAATTTCAGGTGCTTCTGAAATTTCACTTACATAAGTTTCAAGGTGAAGAAGGTGGTACTAAGAATATAAATTTGGGATTTATCAGGGTTTAGATAATAATTAAAACTTTTTAACAGGTAAAATTATTAGAAAAAGATGGAATTCTAAAACTGATACATGATGAAATCCAGCTTTTGGTTATCTAGTAGAGAAGGAGAATAAAACATTCTAAGAATTAGCAATCTGAGGAGTAGGAGGTAACCAGACTTGTAAAAGGGGAAAATGATTCAATAAGGAATAGTCATCAGTATCAGTTATGGCTAGGAAGTAAGATAGGGATGCAAAAGTACCCACTGGATTCGGAAAGTGAAGGTCCTTCTTGATACATAATGAGAGTTGCCAAGGTTTTCAGTAGTTGGAAGCTGAGTAAAGAGGATACAATAACAAGTAGGAAGTAGGAAATTGGAGTTAGCAGTAGCTAGAGGGAAATGTGGTAATAAGGGAGAAGTTTGATTTAATTATAGGAGATTCTAGGTAATGTTAATAAACCAATGGGAATGACTCAGTACAAAGGGTGAGTAATGAAGATATAAGCAGATATAGGAGAAGTTAACCAAAGCAAAACCTTTGATAAAATAAAAGGAGAGGGGATCCAGAATTTGTATTGGGGATTGGCCTTCCAATGGTAGGAAAATTCCTTTTTTTGTTTGTTTTTCATTCGACTGGCAGAGTGGACAGTGAGAGAGAGAGAAAGGTCTTCCTTTGCCGTTGGTTCACCCTCCAATGGCCTCCGTGGCCGGTGCACTGTGGCCGGCGCATCATGCTGATCCGATGGCAGGAGCCAGGTACTTATCCTGGTCTCCCATGGGGTGCAGGGCCCAAGCACTTGGGCCATCCTCCACTGCACTCCCTGGCCACAGCAGAGAGCTGGCCTGGAAGAGGGGCAACGAGGACAGAATCTGGCACCCCGACTGGAACTAGAACCCGGTGTGCCGGCGCCGCAAGGTGGAGGATTAGCCTAGTGATCCTCGGTGCCGGCCGGAAAATTCCTTTTTCCAAACAGGGAGAATATCTGCAGACACAGGTAGTTAGGTAGATTAGTCACAGAAAGATGAGAAAGCTCTCCTCTGACCATTTCTGTTTTCTCAGAGGAATATGAGAAAAATCATCACCTAAAGGAGAGCAGGGAGCTAAGGTGGCAAATTTGAAGATTGAGGAACACAGAAAAAGTCATTGTGGAAAGTTAGTGAACTTACTATTAAATGGTATTATGAGTGTCCAGTGTGAGTGACCATGAGTTTATGTCAGCCATATGTACTTGTTTACTTTTTTCCAAGTTTTGACAGTTTACCGATAGTAAAGATAGAAGGCGGCAGACAAGTGAATTCATTTATGCCTTTTGATCCTTCAGTCATTTTAATCTAATCTATCAATTTTGAAAAATATTCCTGTTCTCTATACAATAAAATTTCAAGTTGAGTTTCAAAATGTGCTTTAAGACTGTAACTTACCTGAGAATATGCTAACACAGACATGTTTATAAGTTTTCAAATTACTTTGATTAGGACCTAGAGTCTGTGATAGTCAGTGTCTAAATGCGGTTTGGTGTGTTTCTTGATATACATTATATGGCATGCCCCCAATATGGATGTTATCCTTATTTACATTTCAGTAGACCCATTTTCAGAGGAGGGTGAGTTCAAGAAAAGCCCAATGTTTGGATCTATTCCTCAAATAAGCAATTACTTGTTGCCATTCTGAAATGAATTCATTTTTCTATGACTTTTTAAGGATTTTAAAATTTATGGTCAGGCCGGCGCCGCGGCTCACTAGGCTAGTCCTCTGCCTTGCGGTGCCGACACTGGGTTCTAGTCCCGGCTGGGGTACCAGATTCTGTCCCAGTTGCCCCTCTTCCAGGCCAGCTCTCTGCTGTGGCCTGGGAGTGCAGTGGAGGATGGCCCAAGTGCTTGGGCCCTGCACCCCATGGGAGACCAGGATAAAAGTACCTGGCTCCTGCCATCCGATCAGCGTGGTGCGGCGGCCATTGGAGGGTGAACCAACGGCAAAGGAAGACCTTTCTCTCTGTCTCTCTCTCTCTCCCTGTCCACTCTGCCTGTAAAAAAAAAAAAAAAAAAAAAAAAAAAATTATGGTCAGGAAATTAAATTTTATAGGTTTAAAAACAATTAAAATCTTAAGATGAGTTAGTAAGCAATTATTACTAGAAAGTTTTTAGTCATTATTTTATATTGCAGATAGATTGTCAGAGAAATTATAGAAAGTAGTACAGAAATTGTCAGTGTTCATGAGCTACCGAATTAATAACTATTAAGTATTTTTCTACAGTTCTTTTGATAATGGATATATATATAAATCTTTTGTTGAATCTATGGATTCATAAATTTTCTTTTTTTTTTTTGACTTTTTAAAAGCTGTTTATTTTGAGATAATTATAGATTGCAGAAAGTTACATAAGTAGTCCAGAGGTTCTGTACCTTTGCCGTAGCTTCTTATGGAAGTAGTCTTACATGGCTGTAGTGTAATTCTTTTTTTTTTTAATTTTCAATTATCTTTATATACAGAAGATCAATTTAGCGTATATTAAGTAAAGAGTTCCACATTTTGCTCCCACACAGAAACACAAAGTGTTTTTGAGTACTAGTTATAGCATTAATTAAACACCTAAGAGTAATTGTGTATTAATTACAGAGTTCAACCAATAGTTTTAATTAAAACATAAAATGCAACTTTTGTATTGTTGTGGCTCCCCCCCCAACCTCCCTCCCTCCCGTGGCCCTCCCCTCACCCACTCACTCTCCCATCCCACCCTTCATCACGTTTCATTTTCAATTACCTTCATATACTGAATATCAACTTAGTATATACTAAGCAGGAATTTCAACAGGTTGCACTCACACAACCGAACCAGGTATAGGGTATTGTTCGACTAGTAGTGTTGTTTTTGAGTTTCATAGTTAAACATATTAAGGACAGAGATCCTACATGGGGAGCATGAACCCAGTGACTCCCATTGTTGATTTAACAATTGGCACTCTTATTTATGACGTCAGCAATCACCCGAGACTCTTGCTATGAGCTGTCTAGGCAATGGAAGCCCCTTGAGTTCACCAACTCTGAATTTGTTTAGTCGAGGCCGTATCACAGTGGAGGTTCCTTCCTCCCTTCAGAGAAAGGCGCCTCTCTCCTTGATGGCCTGATCCTTCTGCTGGGGTCTTGTTCACCAGGATCTTTCATTTAGATTGTTTTTTGCCACCGTGTCATGGCTTTCCATGCCTGTGAGACTCTCATGGGTCTTTTAGCCATATCCGAATGTCCCAAGGGTTGATTCTGAGGCAGGAGTGCTGTCATAAATTAATTTCTAGAGAGACACTTTTTTGTATTTCTCAATGCATGTATAAACTGCTGCTTTGAAAACTGGAAAGTCTTACTGGTGTTAAACTACATCAAGAACTAAAGGATAAGAAGTTGTATTATATTGCAGTTGATACATTGATATATGAATTTTGTTGTCTATTTTTCTTAAGACGTATTTTATTTTAAAGTCAGAGTTACAGAGAGAGAGAGAGAGAGAGAATATCTTTTATCCACTAGTTCATTCCCCAGGTGGCTGCAACAGCCAGGGTTGGGCCAGGCCAAAGCCAGGATCCAGGAGCTTCATCTGGGTCTCCCATGTGGATGACAGGGGTCCATATACTTGGGCTATCTTCCACAGCTTTTTCCAGGCCATTAGCAGAGAAATGGATCAGAAGTGGAGTAGCCGAGACACAAAGTGATGCCCATATGGGATACTGACATTATGGGCCACAGCTTTACCCACTGTGCCACAACACCAGCCCTGAAAACACCATTTTAGTACATGGTGATCTGCCATAGAAAAAATTAAATTTCCCTCATGATTTAAACACAATCAAATTATCTGAATTTCAAATACTATAAAAATGTCTGAAAACATATAATATTTTATAATATTATAAATAATATATATTATTATGTTTATGTATTATAATAAAACCTTGATACTTAAGAATTCCTAGTGTCACATTATTTTCATCCACAATATAGTCAGATTTGTTTTTTCTTCTTTGAACATATTTAACAGACCATAATAGGGGCTGGCGCTGTGTTGTAGCGAGTTAAGCCAGTGTCTGCAGTGCCAGCATCCCATATGGACACTGGTTCGATTCCCAGCTGCTCCACTTCCAATGCAGCTCCCTCTGCACCTGGGAAAGCAGCAGAGAATGGTCCAAGTGCTTTGGCTCCTGCACCCATGTGGAGATCTGAAGGAGCTCCTGGCTCCTGGTTTTGGCCTGGCCTAACCCTGGCTATTAAGGCCATTTGAGGAGTGAACCAGCAGATGGGAGATCTCACTCCTTTTTGTCTCTTCCTCTCACTGTAACTCTTTCAAATAAATAAAATAAAGTAAAAACCAGCATATACCAGAGCTTTATAATGGTTAGTACATGTTTGAGTTATACCTTTAGAAGTTAAAGGAGTACACTGTATATTATCCCAAATCACTTCATGGATAATATTCTATCAAACTAGATTGTATATAATACTTTTATATATATTTTTGAACCAAATAGTTCACCTTTGGTGAATATAAACTAATACTACTCAAAAAAGTAAATTTAATATGTTATTTATTTTATTAAATGTGAGACTTTGTACTATAAAAAGTTATATGAGCATTAGCATCTCTACTTTTATCACAATTCACAATTCACCATCCAATTCTATCGCTTATCCTTCATTTGGAGAAAGCAGGAAATTACCACCACGCTCATTGTCCATAATGGGTTACAAACCAGTTTATTTTCTAAAAATTCTGTGCATACATCATAGATTCTTATCATTCCAGGAAGAAGCTCTACATCTGATGTACTAGACATACACAAGGCTCCATTCTCTCATCAGACCTTTCTTAACAAAGGGCTTAGTAAATCTATGGGATTTCTGTCCATCAGAGACACGCAAGATGAAGAAGAGCATTTCAAGGACATCTCCTCAGACATTAATTCTGGACATGAAGACTGTGAAAATACTGACTCCCTTTATCAGTTCAGATCCAGTGGTCCAGAAAAAAAAGTTATCCATAGCACTGATGGGCTTCCAAAGAAAAAGATTTGGGCGTCATCCATGGACTTGCTTTGTATGACTGACAGAGACTTCTCTTCTGGAGAGACTGGGGGATACCGTCACTGTCACCCGGAGTCAGTAACAGGGCGCACATCAACTACTCCCAGGAAAAAAGAGGCAAGATACTCCGATGGAAGCATAGCCTTGGATGTCTTTGGTCCTCAGAAAGTGGATCCAATATATCCCACTCGGGAATTGCCCACCTCCTCAGCGATTTCAAGTGCTTTGGACCGAATCCGAGAGAGACAAAAGAAACTTCAAGTTCTGAGAGAAGCCATGAATGTGGAAGGTTAGTAATTTCCTGTGCATTTGAGAGAGAACTAAATTGAAATACTTAAAATTGTGTTTTGAAATAAAGAAGGGCCATGAAACCATTCTAAAAATCTTATTTTCAAGCCTTTGAGCATAGGTCAGTCTCTTCTTTGTGAGTGTGTTTTCCCTTCCCTCAAGTCCCTAATCGAAGTACGCTGCTTCGTAGAGTCATTGCTGTGAAGCACCCAGTGCAGTCACTCCCGGTCTCGTGATGTTTCAGGTTGTATGTGTGTAGATTGTAGGCTTCTCAAGGGAAGGAGGCGTGTTTGCGACGTCTTCATCCTTCACAGCACTGCCGTCACGCGCTACCTCTGAGAGGCTTCAGTAAATGACTGACGGAAATGAGAAGGAGCAAGTCCAAATCTGCAATCCTAGGAAGGCAGAATGGCATGGTGATGTGCAGTGTTTCCTAAACTACCAGCTTCAAAAACCACGCTGTAGGGCACAACTCCAGAAGAGGATGATTGGTTGGGTCTGGAATGAAATTTTAAACCTACGGTTTCAAGATCATAGTATTTTGGTTTATACTCATTTGTAGATTTAGAGTCAGAGCCTCTAGGTTGGAATGACCCTAGTTATATGATCTTTACTTCAGCAGTTGGGCTTGATCTCTCCAACTCTAAGTTACCTCACAGGTAAAATGAGCTTGCCAAAGATAGATTAGATAATAAATGGTTAATCTATATTATTAGTTTGAAGAATATAAAGTAACTTTATAAATACTAAATTATTATTCCAGGGAAAAGCTGTGTTTTAAAAATATGATTCATACAAAAACTCAATATATTGAATGGAATAAAATTATGTTCTAGACATATGGATAAAGGCTATTCCTGGTATAAATATATACAAGACAAAACAAATAAGTGAATTTTCAATCTAATCCTCATTTTTTTAAAGATTTATTTATTCATTTGAAAGGCAATTTTAGAAAGAGGGAGAGACAGAGATCATCCATCCACTGGTTCAGTACCCAAATGGCCACAATAACCGGAGCTGGGCCAACTGAAGCCAGGAGCTTCTTGCAGTTCTGCCACGTGGTTGCAGGGGCCATCCACTGCTGCTTTCCCAGGCACATCAGCAGGGAGCTGGATTAGAAGTGGAGCAGCTGGGACTCAAATCAGCACCCACAGGGGATGCTGGTGCTGCAGGCGATGGCTTTACCCACTGCACCACAACACCAGCCCCTAATCCTGTACATTTTTTTTTTTTTAAGATTTATTTTTTTGGGAGGCAGAGGCAGAGAGAGGGAGAGAGAGAGAAAGTAAGTCTTCCATCCATTGATTCACTCCCCAAATGGCCGCAACGGCTGGAGCTGGGCCGATCCAAAGCCAGGAGCCAGGAGCCTCTTCCAGGTCTCCCATGCGGGTGCAGGGGCCCAAGGCCTTGGGCCATCTTCTGCTGCTTTCCCAGGCCACAGCAGAGAGCTGGATCAGAAGTGGAGCAGCTGGAACCGGAGCCCACATGGGATATCGGCACTGCAGGCAGTGGTTTTACCCGCTGTGCCACACTCGGCCGCAATTTCTAAGACTTAAATTTTTTAACTGCTCTAGCTCCCTAAACAAACCCTGGGATGTAACTACTTAAAGGAAATTGTTAGATGCTTTCTAGTTCAAAGAAAGGAATTGGGCATCGTTAAGGGTCATAGCCATCTTTCAGGTCATTGTTCCAGTATATTTTTAATTCACAGACTGCCTATATTCTTGCTAAGGCCTGTTGCTCTGTACTTAAGCTTTAAGCATAGATATGAGTTGTGTTTTACTTCTAGTAAAAGAGGCTTTTGTAATATTTTTTCAAATTAGGAACTGCAAATCAATAAAGAATTTGAAACTATGGAGGAAATTATTGAAAACAGTTGATATTATGGTTTGCCTATAACACGTGTTTCAAAAAACACTATCCAACTTAATGAAATTGTTATGTATGAAAGGTTTTCAAAAAGTTAATGAGAAATGCACGTTAACTTTTAATTCCATTTTTCTACCAGAATTTTTTCTGAGAGGCAGAGGGACAGAGAGAAAAAGACAGGCAGACGGAGAGCTTCCATCTGCTGGTTCATTCCCCAAATGCCCACAACAACTATGGTTCAGACATATCAGGGTTGGCCCGTGCTGAAGCTGAGAGCAGAAACTCAATCTGGGTCTCCAATGTGGGTGACAGGAACCCAACTACTTGAGCCATCATCTGCTGCCTCCCAGGTTGCACATTAATGTTATATATAATATATAGTATAATTTTAATCTGAAAACTCTCAAAAACAGGAAATAAGAATTTGGAAATTTGTTTTGTGCATTATTTCCCATTCAACTTTTGACAGCAAAGAGTAGGCTCTTCCTGTAGCTTTAAAAAAAATCTGCCATTTCAAAGTTATGTTTCATATGTTGTATCATGTAACTATATAACAGCCACCATAAGAAAGCATGCCGCATGGAGATATTTATATAAGGAAATCTTGTCCATTGTAGAAAAAAAAACCTTCAGTGATTCAAATAGATAGATAAAACCATTATAGGCTCAGAATATAAGTGATGAAGATCCCTGCCAATATAGATGACTATTTCTTTTTCTTTTTCTTTTTCTTTTTTTTTTTTTTTACAAGCAGAGTGGACAGTGAGAGAGACAGAGAAAGGTCTTCCTTTGCCTTTGGTTCACCCTCCAATGGCCGCCACGGCCGGCACACCGCGCTGATACGATGGCAGGAGCCAGGTGCTTATCCTGGTCTCCCAGAGGGTGCAGGGCCCAAGCACTTGGGCCATCCTCCACTGCACTCCCGGGCCACAGCAGAGAGCTGGCCTGGAAGAGCGGCAACTGGGACAGAATCTGGTGCCCTGACCGGGACTAGAACCGGGTGTGCTGGCGCCGTTAGGCAGAGGATTAGCCTATTGAGCCACGGCGCCGGCCAGATGACTATTTCTAACTTTTAAACACAGGAGTACATTTTCTGTTAAAATGTAAATATTTTAAAAATCAGCCAGCACTGTGGCATAGTAGATTAAGCCTCTGCCTGTGGCCCAACATCCCATATGGATACTAGTTCATGTCCCAGCTGCTCCTCTTCTGATCCTGCTCTCTTCTTATGGCCTGGGAAAGCTGCAGAATATGGCCCAAGTGCTTGGGCCCCTGCTCCTGTGTGGGAATAAGCCCAACTCCAGCCATTGTGGCCATTTAGGGAATGAACCAGCAGATGGAAGACTTCTCTCTTTGTCTCTCCCTCTCTCTCTCTCTGTAACTCTGCCTCTCAAATAAATAAATGAATCTTTAAAAAAAAAAATTTCTAATCATTTCATCTGTGTTTTAATTTCAGAAGATTATTTGATTTAATATTTGGTACATTAGTAATACTACAGATTAGTGAAGTTTGGGAAAATTTTTAAGTGATTTTTATGAAATATACATTTTTAAATTTTAATTTATTTGATAGGCAGAAAGAAAGTGGGGGATAGAGTTCCCATCCTCTGGTTCACTCCACAAACAGCCATGATTGCCAGGGGTAGGCCAAGGCTGAGGCTAGGAGCCAGGAACTCAATCCGGGTGCCCCATGTGCATAGTGGGAACACAGTTACTTGAGCTGTCACTGCTGCTGTTTGGGTTTGCATTGGTGGGAAGCTGGAGTCAAGCCTCAAAGGCAGGTGTTGGTGAGCCCAGGCACTATGATGAAACACAGGCTTCTTAACTGTTAGGCCAAATACCTGAACCAAGAAATGTTTTTATGCTTGAACCTTGGTTTGAGAATTTAGCAGGAAAGAAATCAAACAAAATGGAAATATATTGTTAAATTAAACTGTAATAGTCTAATATGTTTGTTTAATGGGTGATTTTTTTATTCCTATAAGTATATATATTACAATATTATAGCATATGATCCCTTTATCTTTTTTTTTTTATTTTTTTGACAGGCAGAGTGGACAGTGAGAGAGAGAGACAGAGAGAAAGGTCTTCCTTTGCTGTTGGTTCACCCTCCAATGGCCGCCGCGGCCGGCGCGCTGCAGCCGGCGCACCACGCTGATCCGATGGCAGGAGCCAGGAGCCAGGTGCTTTTCCTGGTCTCCCATGGGGTGCAGGGCCCAAGCACTTGGGCTATCCTCCACTGCACTTCCCTGGCCACAGCAGAGAGCTGGCCTGGAAGAGGGGCAACCGGGACAGAATCCGGCGCCCTGACCGGGACTAGAACCCGGTGTGCCGGCGCCGCTAGGCGGAGGATTAGCCTACTGAGCCGCGGCGCCGGCCTCCTTTATCTTTTTAGGCAACATGTGTGTACATGTGTGTTAATGAAATTCAAATGGACCAACATTTTTCCAAATGTACATCATCTATAAAGATGCCTTATTTGTTTAAAAAATAACTAGTTATGAAACATCATTTCTAGATTTTGAAATTTTAGGTTTCACAGGAGATGCAAGCAAAGGGAAAGCTTTCTTTTTAAAAATAAAATATGCTTTGAATTGTTTGGTACAGGACAGTTTCTATCCTGAAATCTTTCTTTTTCTTTGCTGTTGAAGAGTTATAAAAAGTATTTTCTATTACAAAGAACATACCCACTTTCCCTGTAGAGGATATTTTACAGCAAAGTTAAACAAGTAAAATGTAAAACTGTTAGTTTATTGAGGAATTACTTGTACCACATTGAATAATCCTCTATTATCCTTGGAATTAGTCATAAATTATGTTTGCATTAGACTAAATGCATTATTTGAAAGGAATGTTTGAGGTTTGAAATTCAAAAGAAATAATTCTTGTTATTTAGTTGAGTAACTTGCTGGTTTAAGATTGTACTGTTTTTCTAAAGGTGAGGTAATTTATGTTAGCTGTGCAAACAAAAGTGCAGATTGCTAATACGAAGATTTTAGTCACTATACAAAGAAGAAGAAAATAGAAAATAATATAAATACTACCTATCTCATTTAATTCTCATGAAAAGTAGGCTCTCCAGATCCCTTTTGTATGGGGCATATCAAGCAGAACAGTAGATATCATTAA